GATGAAACAAATAAGAAATGGATAATGATGTAAAGAACTGTAAGTACTTTAGTTATTTCATCCATTCCATGCAATCTATGCCATTCTGTTTTATTGGCATATATTGCATATTTAATTTCATGACATAAATGGTACTTGCAAGTTAAAATTGAGATTGGAACAATGTAAAAGACTCAAGTCAAAGTGAAGTATGCCTTAACAATTAACATTGTGTCACAAAACGGCAAAGGTTATATGTCAAATATACGTCTGTCAAGATAGAAAGATACTGTCAAGTCAAGTATTCACATCTGAGTAGATGGAACTGAGCAGATGTTTGGCAGTTTGCATTGATAGTTAAGGCAGAATATCCTACAGTACCAATTGCAAACAAAAATTGAAAGTTGGAAATTGACTAGTAGAGAAAGACAGCTTCTTTTGGAAGCAAAGTCTATATTCTGGTCAGTTATTTAGAGAGGGACCAGTATGGGGTTGTCAATGAAGTTGGAGACAATAAAGCACAATAACTGTTCGGTGGGTATTTCACTATAAACAAGACAGAAGAACCTCCTGAATGGAAACACAAGCACAGAAGAACTCCAAACAACACCTGAGCCACTCACTTAATAATCCTGCCATGATGTTACAATTAAAATGCTTAAGATTTTAAGGACATTAGACGAAGACAGCCACAGCGTAAACACTAGTTGCGTGTCAGTGACTCTGTTTCACACTGGAAAATAATCAACAGCCAGCTTGTCACTCCCTACAACCTGCCAAGCGTAGGAGTGGAGGCACTGACACATGTAACTGACATCTCAGATTTAATTTGACTGGTAATCACACCCAGCTATAGTTTCAGAGCATTTCACACATCTGAGCTACAGTTTCAGGTGTTAAGTCGGTAAGGAGCCATACAACTGTGCCTCTGAACGATAACACATCATCAGAGACGGTCACATTTTAGGGTTTCTGTTCTGCCATTATGATTATAATGGTGATAATAGAACAGGATTATTAGACACCATATAAAACATGCTTTCTTGATTTTCAAACTTAACACAACCAACACTCATTTTGAGCTCAGATAGTTTCATTTCAGTTCAGTGGATATTTAAATCAACTTATACATGGGCATCAGTTCACTGCATGTCACCTTCTTGGGATTCTTGTCTGAACCATAATGCATGAGCTAATAATATCACTTCTAATGAGACAATATTCTACTAATACCACCTCCATTTGACAAAGTGGATGAGAATAATCATGTGGTATGTTTCACAAGATAAAACAAGAGAAAGAACCACTACCTTACTAACAGTCGAGTTGCAGTTTACATTCATGTCTGTCCCCACTGATATGATTTGACTTGACTTTGTTAAGCTTTGTTGTTCTTGTTCTGCTGTGTTTACTGTAATAGTCTCGAAGATTGATAATAGAGGCAAAGGGAAAGAGTCAAATGCCTTGTATTGTGTTCACATGTTTGAACAATAAAGCTGATTCTGATAGAACACAGAGTTGTGGCCAGGAAGGGAGACCTGCTTTATAAATGGATGTTGCTGCAAAAACTCTACAAATTCTAAAACTTCAGATATGTTGCAGCAAAGGAGATCTATACAATCATCACAGTTTCAATGCCAGCACCCAAGATTAGTATTAATATTTTAGTATTTGGTATTAACATGGTCACAATCTCTCTTTCTGTTCTTGGGTTATTGATGAATAATGGCAAGAAAGTGTTTTTGCAGAGTTTTAATGTCACAGTGAAGCCGACCTTTGACCTTTTGAATATAGAATGCCAGTAATTTATGATGTTTTCCTATGTTTATGAAATTTGGACATAATCAGCAAATGAATTCTTGAATTATGGCCAAAAACATATTTTGTGAGGTTGCAGTGACCTTTGAACATCAAATTCTAATCAGATCCTCATTGAGTCCAAGTGGAAGTTTGAATCAATTTTGAAAAAATATCCCTTCAGGCGTTCCTGAGATATCGTGTTCACAAGAATGGACAGATAATCCAAAACCATAATACCTGGCCACATAAAAAGAATCACTCTGTGCGGGGCTACATACCGGCGTGTATTGAAGAGCAGATTCCACCACATGATTCAAAAACACACCTGTAACAGAGACAAATAGTGAGTTCATGTTCTGAAACTTTGTTCATAAAGCTGATAAACGGCACACTAGATGCGAGACAACTCCAGTAAGATTCTTTGACTCCATCCGACACAACCTGCCTCAGGGAATCTGTACCTCCGATGTCAACCTTTGCTTTCTGATTCATAACTGAGAGCCGTTAACATTATTTTCCTGAACAACACACTCAAGGAAATACGGGTCGATCAGGGTCGGATTAAGTGCTGGAATGATTGACAAGCCTGTATCCCGTGTGTTCTGTTGGCATTGGCTTTACTTCTTAATTGTTTGGAGTCCCATGAAAACCACTGCTGCATGTGTACAAATAATAATGATAGTAACAAGTGCAAAAACTATAAATTATTTGAAGGCTTATAAAACCCAGATTGGAATACTTTTCGATTTAATGCAAGTGACAAAACAAAATATTACCATAGAACATTGTTATTACACCAAAGAAACAGTTTTTTTTCCTACACGTTGAAGTTACTTAGTTACAAGATATGTCAAACTCCCTGTAAGCACTCATATGAGCAAACTGCCAAACAAACATGAGTAATATGTTATTTTCTGTGGAGAACGCTGGAAACATATCATAACATATAAATCATTTTAATAAAAAATACAACAAAATTACAAAATACTACAAATTGTAAGTATGACTTTAAAGCTGATGCAACTGGTTTTTTCAAAGATACCAAACAATACATGACGGTAAACAACAATTTAGATAATCACTTTTGTTATGAACATCGAACCCGAACATTTGTGTATTGGAAAAGATATATATATTTAATATGTATATAAAGGGGCAAATAGACAGAAAGGTAATTTTATTAATTGTTTAAGTCATATTTTAAGCAAAACTGTCCCAAATTCTGGGTTTGTCTTTTTTCTCTGTCCTATGCCACTGCAACCTGGGTTTTGGACAAATCAAGCATTTACTGATCATCTTGGCCTTTGTGAAATTTAGACAGTTGGATATTTTCTGACAGTTCAAAACAAAAAGGAAAAAACAAATGTTTAGTTGCAGCCCTTAAAGGGATTGACAGTTGTTTTTCACGTTGTTTGATGGAGAACAGAAAACTGATCAGTTTCACAAGAGAAATAACTGTGATAGTTATTAATTTCATGTTGATGCGATTCTATGAAAACATGGCGCCCTTATTTGCTCACCTCTGATATATGTGTGCAGACCTCGATGTTCTTGGTAGATCCACCTGATTACTAAAATATCTCCACTCTGCAGCTGTTCCCTCAGCTGAGTTGCTAATTCAGGCCAGTACTCCCATTTAAGTAGTCCCAGGTGTCTCCATTTATAGCTGTGTAAGCAGCCAGCCAGGCCAAAGAGAGCACATAACTGTTTGCTATGCTGAGCATTCAGGGACTTCAGGCATCTTGGTTAAAATATTTGACCTTGTCAAGTGACATATAATCAATTTGTGGATAACATGCCTCAACCATCTGATTTATTTAGTCGAGCAGTTGACTCCTTTACTCCAGGTGGTATACTAATGCAGTAAAACCTACTTGGCTGTTAAGACGACACTGACTTCTTCCTATGGCCATCTAAGCTCGTCCTTACATACCTGCAGGGAGCGATGGACTTACTGATGAAGGTCTCCTCTTTGATTTTACAATACCTCAAATCCTGAGCTGATAACAACAAGGATATCATCCACACTCACTGCTCTGCAGTAGAAGCACTGCTGCATCCTAATTTTACCACATACACACTATGTTTGTTATCTCTGCTCTCAATTCTTTTGTTTAATGACTGATAGTTGTCTCGGGAAACCACATACTCCAAAGAGCATAGAGAACAACAGCCTTGTGTTGTACTGGATGTCGATATAATCATTCTACAACATTAAGGGGAATTATGTCATGAATGGATGATGGATGGATAAAGCAACTTAGCCTCAGTGAAAATTAGTCATCACCAGTTCAGTGTTGTTTACCACAAGTAATGTTGTCAAATATCTATTGTAGTACAATGGAGTCATTATTTTTGACTTATTTGGGTACATTTTTGATTCAAATTTATTTTCACATATTTTTTCATACATCAAATATATACAAGGTAACCTGAATTGTTTAACACAGCCAAACTACAATTAAATCCACAAGTGGCAATGATCCAGGTTCCAGCAGCTTGCGACTATTTAGATACCACATGCATTAATTTGTTGGCACATAGGATTTCCAACAATTGGTCCCTGCATTGTTTGTTTATTATGTATTTGTAGTCCTCTAGACTACTGCTGCATTCATATGATGTCACTGACGAACTGAAAATGTTTGCTTTTGCTAGCTTGGGAGTATTCATGGATTATTTTAAGGTGGTTAGCAATAGTGCTAACCAAATAGTCAAACCACAGAATGGCAAAACACTGGGAGAGCCTTTGTCGATTTATGTTACCTGAAGGCTATCATGGTTTCTCCTGCAGACTTGGAAGGGGAGGGTGAGGTGAGGTGAGGAGGTGTATTAAGTTGGTTGTGATATGCAACCTCACAGCTAGATGTCACTAAATGCTACACACTGAACCTTTAATAATGGACTATTTTAATGTAACCGCCAGTTACGACACAAAATATTCTTGTGAAAATAAATTAAAATTTCCCAAACCCTCTTTATTACTAATATTTTATAGCCAACGATATTAATTTAAATGTGTACGCAGACATTCAAATACAATGTAAAATGTACTATTAACAGGGAATGAGTAGAGACGCAGCTTCATTCAGATGGAGGGAGAATTATCTGATGTTTCCAGATTGTTTGAACTGATAAGAACAATAACAAAGTTGTTCACATTAACAGGTACAGTTAGTACTCACCCAAGCAGTGCTGGGAGCAGGTCTCACCAGGCAACCCATGCGTCAACACATGCATGGGTGTAGCGTAGATGTACAGTTCTACAAACATTACAAATAAAAACAGTTTGTTAGTAGAACTTCACTCCTAAATACTGCCTGAAGTAAAATTCAAATACTGCCTTTAGAACGTAGTGCTTGGAGACAGTGCTAACACACACCTATCGCCAAGAGAGGACGGGGGACGTGTCTGTGTGGCATACGAGGTGGTGGTTTCAGGGTTTACTATCAACATAAACCCTGTACACACCTGGTATTAACATGTGGTTTTTGTGATCCTATCATACAGGTGTGAATAGCAATCTTATCACGCCAGACCACATCCGGTCTGGGCCACGTGTCCACATCCTTTCAGCAATGTGAACGCAAATGTGGTCCTGGCCACGTTGAAGGACCACCTACTCAACTGACGTCCTCTGTTTAATTGGAATTACGTACACATACCTGCAATTTGCTCTGCCACGAATCGTCATCTATGTTATGTTGATTTCTTCTTATTCTCATGCTGCTTACTGCCATGCATGGCGCCTCTGCGAGTGTGTACTGTGTGTATTGTTATTATGTGTACAGCATGACAGATTTGAAAATAACCAAAGCTTTACAGACTCCCGCTCACAAGAGGTTGATGGTGGTGAGGGTACACCCACCTGTGACCTCTTCATCTTGGGACTCTATGTAATCCCTGGTCCCTGCGTGGTCCAGATTTGTAACACTAGGTGGCGTCCACGTTCAACCCCTACATGTCGATTTTTATAAATCTGCTCAAATGTGATATTAAAACCAGCATTAATGTTTATCGCTATCACACAGTCATATAATTGAAATCATAAAACAGATCTCAGTGAGCGGCATCTCTTTAAAACGGGTTTAGAAGCTCGTCATGTTCTGCTGTCCTTGCTCAGTCCAGCTGTCTGGAAACTGCACTTGGTTTCTAACAAACTTCCAACAACGTGGGTGTAATGACGTCATCCCAAGCCCACACTGCAGTCGCCTCACTCTCACAGCTGTCTACAAAGATCAGAGACCGTGTGCTTCTAAGAACAGAGCAGTCACAGAGGGAAGAAGTGCACTGAGCTTCACACGCACGAGAACTCAGCCTCCACGAGCTGCAGCACCAAACTTCACGCTGCATCCCGGACTCACTGCGAGTGAAAGTTAATGGAGGTGCACCTCTGACGTCACTGCAGTGTTTTCACCACATCGACCTCCGCCAGCGACGCTTCCCTGACTAATGACCGAGCCTGACTGCGACGTATCCCTGCGCACGCCGCACCGCGCACAACACCCACCTCAGGACGGAGAACAGCCACGACGTGAAGTTTGTGTTTTCTCCTCACACCTCCGCTTCAGCCTCCTCTCTGTGTCAGCCTGACGCCATCTTGCTTTAAAGCCGGGCAGGTTGCATCCTGGTCCGGAGGAGAGGGGATGTCCGCGGCGGAGGGAGACGCATGAGCATCACCCAATCTGCAGCGACCTTGTTTCCCTGTGGAGAAGCTACACTACAAAATGATTGTGACACGTGCAAACAGAGGGTTAAGCTGCTGTCGTTGAAGTTTGCACATGACTTTGATCTACATGCTGCATTACATGAGTTAAGTGAGGCAGAGATTGAATCCAATATAAAGTGGGTTAAAGAAAATGCAGATAAGTCAAATGGCTCATACTCTAACAAGAGTCCAACTGTCCCCTCACGTTCAATCACACACTCTTTCATCAAGATCTCACAAAAAATGAATGCAGTGTTAAAGACAAAGGGAAACAAATTCCTGGATCACCACATTTAAAACTTTGTGATGTCGATTTCTGCAGAATAGAGCGAACGCTGTTTCTTCTGAGATTTAATTCAACGCCTGCAGATGTAGACTCAACACATTCTGTAAATGAGATGTGACAATGAGCAAAGTAAAGAAGGAACATCAGTGAATTATACTTTGAACACTTTGAAAAACAGTATTTTGGTGGTGGAAAGCACTTCTGGTCATCTTATCTCCGTATCTTGGACATAGAGTGAAGTGCTGGCGCTTACACAAGTGTGTCATGCAAAGATTGTTAAGAATGTGTCCGACGAAACTACCATTTAGAAGAAGACAGAAGAAGAAGAGATACTTTATTAATCTCTCAAGGGGAAATTCTTTTTTTCACTTTTTTTTTTTTACATGCATTTTAACCCTTTAACACAACCACAAGAGGCTCATAGACATACAATGGAGAGAGATGGTGGAGTGATGGGCAGCACCGGAGGAGCGCAGCACTGCGAGCAAATTGGGGGGGGGGTTCGGTGCCTTGCTCAATAGCACTTGGCAGTGCCCAGGAGGTGACCTGGCACCTCTCCAGCTACCAGTCCACCTTCCATACTTTGATCCAAGCTGGACTTGAACCAGCTACCCTCCAGTTCCTGAGCCAAGTCTCTATGGACTGAGCTACTGCCGCTGTTTAAAATAAGAAATAAATGAATAACAAAATGCTCAGAAACAATCATTTCTAGGACAGGTTCTTCTCTGACCCATACCGCATCCTTTCACCAAGTTTCATCATAATCCGTCCTGTAGTTTTTGCAAATTTATGACAAACAAATGCAGACACACACATACTTAAGTCTAGGGAAGGGTATCTACTGTTTTCAGACTGTACAGTTTCTCCGTTACTCTTGATTGTAACAGGAAGTTGAACCAGGACAGAGAGGCCTGGGTTTTGTCTAATGTGAATGAACTGAATTTCAATGTGGTTCCAATGTGAGAACCGCTGGCAAAAAAAATATGCCGACTGTTGTATATTTAATGTTGAATTGCTCTTGTACAAGTAAAGCAGTGAGCTTTAACCCCCATTTAAATTGTAGAATAATGATGCAGCGTGCATGTTGAAAATGCATTATTAATACTGTTGCATGGTTTTTCTTGCCCTAGTGTGATTTCCATGTTTCCACTTGAAAACCTCACAAGTCAGGGGGAAAGAATCATGCCACCATCATCATTATCTTTTGAAACAGGTGTTAAATTCATCACAGGGATTCTTATTTTCAATGTTGTTGCAGTATCCTCTAATTTTAAGCAAAGTTACATTTAATGATGAATTAATATGTTTAATTTACCTCCTGTCTATTCCATAGCAGACTATTCAATTGCACCCAAGAGCTCTGGATGCTGATTAATTTATTTAAAGTTAAATTAACTGCAGATTAGCAGCCTATAGCTTATTGACTT